ACATTGATGAAGTAAAAAATAAACTCTCAAGATTCACTTACGCCCTTTTTCAATTAAAACACAGTACAAATTTCAAAACCGCACTTTCAGCTTACTACGCATACGCCTATTCTTGGTTAAGGTACGGAGTAATATTATGGGGAAACAGCGTCAACATGCATCAACTATTTGTACTGCAAAAGAAGTGTATTAGAATTCTGGCCCATATAAATAATAGAGAAAGTTGTAAACCATATTTCCAAAAATACAAACTACTAACATTACCTTCAATATATATACACGACATTTGTAATTTTGTATTCAAAAACATTCACACATTCACTGAAATACGAGATATACACAACATAAACACCCGCCACAAAAAACCGACTATATCTTCCACCCTCTCGAATTAAAATGTTAAACCAAAGTCCACAATATATGGCTATAAAAATATATAACAACCTGCCACAAGATATAAAAAAGGAAACCAGCTTAATAACATTTGATAGAAAACTGAAATCCTTTCTAATAAACAAATGCTTTTATTCGGTAGAGGAATTTTTAAATATATCTATAAATAAATAACGATAATTTAACTAAATATTAATTTATAAAAACACGTGAATATATATAAAAATACTACTTAAATAAGCAGAAAATAATATACATATCTATGATGATCAAAATTATAAATTTTATAATAGTACCTACCTACTCAGAAATATTATTTAATATTAATACAGCGATCCACTAAAAATGATCTCTTTTAATTGTGTAAATTTATTTTCTAATTAATTATTAATAAGTATAATATTAGTAACAAGTATCTACCCTCTAGTATGTTTGCAATGCCTGGAAAAGGCTACTAAGTTTTTAAGTGCCACTAGCAATAAGACCTATGTATACACTTAGTTTGCAAATAAATAAATTCTCCTTCTCCTTCTCCTTCTCCTTCTCCTTCTCCTTCTCCTTCTCCTTCTCCTTCTCCTTCTCCTTCTCCTTCTCCTTCTCCTTCTCCTTCTCCTTCTCCTTCTCCTTCTCCTTCTCCTTCTCCTTCTCCTACTCCTTCTCCTTCTCCTTCTCCTTCTCCTTCTCCTTCTCCTTCTCCTTCTCCTTCTCCTTCTCCTTCTCCTTCTCCTTCTCCTTCTCCTTCTCCTTCTCCTTCTCCTTCTCCTTCTCCTTCTCCTTCTCCCTCTCCCTCTCTCTCTCTCTTTCTCTTTATCAAAATCATTTACTCCAACTAAACCATAAATACATACATATAGGTACTTTTGAAACGTCAAAATAGAATAGTAGTCAGTCAGTCTGTTCGTCAGTGAAGCTAGGTGCTCATTGCAAATTGTAGATTCGAATGGAGAAGAACGAGCAAAAAACTCCACTCTTTTTAAAAGTTATTATTAGTTTTTCGATTTCACTAATAATACATTGAGTATACATTATTATTACCCTTATGTGAGAACAATACAGAGACAAGTTGTAAATAAAAAAGAACAAATGATGGTATCTATCATTAAATTTTAATCCTATGTCGTCTCGAACATGGCGCTCACATATGCGTACTCACAATCTAAAAGAATGCTTCTGTATAAACTCTATGGATATATAGATCAATACTATGATATTATAAAGAGATTAGGTCTCCGGCAACTTCACTCACACGGTGAAACCCAACGCTGTGTGTGTTTCACGCCGGTTTTCTGTGAGGCCATGGTATCACTTCAGTTCAACCGACCCATTCGAGCTGAACTTCGGCTCTCCCACAGTAAAACAAATGCCTTGCATATGACCTTGACTTTGACTCCATCATCATCAGCCTATAAGTGCCCACTGCCGAGCAAAGACCTCTTCTCACATGGAGAAGGTTTGAGCATTAATCACCACGCTTGCTCAATGCGGGCTGACGATTTCAAACTTATAATTAGAAATTATAAGTCCAGGTTTCCTCACGATGTTTACCTTCACCGCATGTCAGTGGTGACTAAATAATCAAAGAAAGTAAATATAACTCGGAAAAAGTCACATTGGTACTTGCCAGGTTTCGAAGCTACACCCTCATGCATGAGAAACGGGCTCCTTAACCTCCGGGCCACCACGACCACTTTGACTCTGCGACCCCCAAAACATGAGATATGCGAGCGAGAATGACAAGACAGTAACAGCTGAGCACTACATCATTTAGGGCTGATTTTTCAATAGTCAAATAAACGTTATCTGAGCAAAAAAATTGTTGCTGTCACTGTCTTTTACAAACATTCTGACGCGACAGCATCACAATTATTCCCCAGGTATTTTTAGTCTTACCATTGAAGAATCAGCCCTAAGTTGAAATTCGCCTCGCTGCACTTCGCTGAATTAAATCCCAGACGAACAAAGACTCCACTTATTTCCCCCCGACTGATATTGCTTAGGTGAAATAATTTGTACGTGAAATACGAGTAAAAAAAAGTAAAATCTTGTACCTACTTGTGTATTTGTATATATGGAATCAAATTGTAAGTAGTAGGAGTTGAGTTACAGGCACAAGTGTCTTTACGTTAATCAAGTTTTTTTTTTCAAATGACTTCTCCCGCCCATGGTAAGGCGAGAGAGAGTGTCAGACTCTTACTGACTAAAAACCCCCCTGTTCCGTCTCCTGCTCTGGGCCGAGGCCGCGGTGAATCATTGCGCTTAACCTGCAACCCCGGCTGAGTAATAGGTATGGCCTAGCTGCCTATAGGCCACAAGAAAAAATTCTTGTTTTCTTTCTTTATTTCTTGTCGTTTTTTTTTCTCTACATACTTAATATAAAACAAAGTCGCTTTCTCTGCCCCCTATATCCCTATGTACGCTTAAATATTTAAAACTACACAACGGATTTTGATGCGGTTTTTTTAAATGGCATAAAGTGATTGATGAGGAAGGTTTATATACTTTATATGTATGTATAGTATAATCTACTAAATAGAGGAGAAATATTGCGGATCACTAGTTTTGAAGAGGTAAAATTTGTAAGTTTGTAAGTATGTTTGTAAGTTTGTATGTAAAGGGTAATCTTTGGAACCGGAGGTCGGATTGCCAAAATTCTTTCACTGATAGATAGCTACAATGTTCCTGAGTGCTATAGGCTATAAAACATCACGCTACGATTAAATGGAGCCTACCAGCGAGTTGCTAGTTTTTAATAAACTTGAAATGCAAATCCTAATCCTAACTAATATTATAAATTCAAAAGTAACTCTGTCTGTCTTTTCTTCACGCCTAAACTACTGAACCTATTCGTGTGAAATTTGGTACAGACAAAGTTTGAAACTCGAGGACATAGGATAGTTTTTATACCAAAAAATCTGCAGGATGTCACTATTCCACGTGAACGAAGTCGCGGGCAAAAGCTAGTATCTTATACAGAAGCAGACGCTAAAAAGTTAAAACTTTCTTCAAATCTCACACGGAGAAGGTTCACCACGCTCGCTCAAGGCAGATATGCGATATAAAACTTATAATTAGAAATTATAAACCCAGGTTTCCTCACGAAATCTCCGGCCACCGTAAGCGCGGGTCTGCGGACGGCGAGTAAGGGAAGCTTGCCGCCCGACCAAAACCAGACCCGAGAGTACGGCGCGTAGCGTTCCGCGCGCGCCTCAAAGAGCCAAAATAGACCACCGCAGACGGGGCCCTATAGGGCTGATGTTCAGCCGGGGTTGCGGGGTAAGCGCAATGAGGCACCGCGACCTCGGTCCAGACTAGGTGAAGGAACAGGGGGGTGTTTAGTCAGTAAGAGTCTGACACTACCTAACCCTAGAAGAGAGAAATTATTCGATGATTTTTCCATCACAAAAAGGCTTTTGAGAGGATTTGCTCACACCAGGGGCCGGCCCTGTCTATCAATAAGTATTTTAAGTTATTTCTAAGATATCATTAATGTCACATAATAAGGATAATAGTCGTGGTGGCCCGGAGGTTAAGGAGCCCACTTCTCATGCATGAGGGTTCGAAACCTGGCAAGTACCAATGTGACTTTTACCGAGTTGTATGTACTTTCTATATTGATTTAGACACCACTGACATATGGTGAATGTAAACATCGTGAGGAAACCTGGACTTATAATTTCTAATTATAAGTTTGAAATCGCCAACCCGCATTGAGCAAGCGTAGTGATTAATGCTCTAACCTTTCTCGTATGAGAAGAGGCCTTTGCTCAGCAGTGGGCTCTTATAGGCTGATGATGAATAAGGATAATTTTATTGAAACACAAATACTAATTTTCACCACGGATATTTTAATATCCTTTTCTAGTTTATTACAATCAAAAACTAACAATATTATTTAATTATTATTAAATTTATTTATTACTAAGTCACCTCCTAGTTATAAACTTAACTAAAACATTATTTAAAACAAAAATTCAATACAACTTGTAGCAAATTTTGAAATATTTCAGAAAACAAATATTAAAGACTTCAAAAAGTATAAAAATTTGCTTTGGATAAGAACCTCGCTACCATCAGTTGACTGGACAATCTCTACACTACATGAGTCGCTGTTTACATGTCAATATTAGCTCATGACGATACCAGCGTACGTGTGTCACTGGACAGTGAACCTCGCTACCATCAGTTGACTGGACAATCTCTACACTACATGAGTCGCTGTTTACATGTGAACATTCATCTTTTTTTCATATTTTTGAAGTCTTTAATAGTACATTATACTGTTGTACATTATAATAATGATTTTTTGTTGTAAATATTTGAACTCGACTACGGATGATCTTTTGATGTACCTAGTTTTCTCAATTCTACTTTTAAACTGTTTATAAAAAATATGGCAACGTATGTGTCTGTGATCGAATTTATAAATTATTTATTTCAACTGAACATAAACACTACTAATAAATCAACAATTTCTTCCATTCTACTTCTCAAAAAAAACTACCAAAACCGAAACAATTTATTCAACTGGCAACCCCAAACGTCATATCCATAGTCGAGTAATCGGAAATGTCGATTATTTTAAAATTACTTATCGATTTGAAACGCTACGGTATCGATATTTCGTTGTAATCGATTTAATATGATTCTTTTTGTTTTCGTCGAGCGATTTCCGCGCTGGCCTCTTGAATTGCCTCCCAGAGCTTCGCTTCGGAAAGGATCTGCCTGGACAACTCTTCAATGGTGGTTTCTGAATCTAGAAGTGAACCGAGGGTCTCGTCGTCGACATACTGGAAAAGAAATACAAATCATCATTATTGTTATTATATGTATATTTATATTATATTAATACTATAAAGAGAAAAGATTATTTATTTGTTTCTTTGTATTGAATAGACTTCGAGACAACATGTCTGAATTGGAAAATTAATTCACTGTTGGAAGCTACACTATCCCCGGTGAACTACTTACATGGTATAAAACAAAGTCGCTTTTTCTGTCCCCATATCCCTATGTAATTATTTAAATGATAAGCAATGCCGGCAAAATTGGCGTTCCATAAAAATATAAAAGTGTATCTTTACTTAATTGTTAATACAGGGTGTAAAAAGACACTTAACGAAGCCGTTAACTACGCATACTGCAGTTCTAACTAAGTAGCTTTACGCTAAAATTATCACTGGGAAACGACTTTTATTTTTAGGTATCAAAAAAAAAAAAAAAAAAATATTGCGCGCAATATATAAGCAAACGGGCTTCGTGTCATTGTGTGCGTAGGTTCACAGCTTAGCATTAAAACGCTGTGATAAGTACATAGGTCGACGTTTTACTTTGCAACAACAAAACCATTCTGTAAAATAAAAATCCTACCGAGATGCACGATGTTTTTTGTGCGGGTCTGCATTTATTTATTACGTACATTACTGTTCGTAACTTCAAATGCGTAATTTATTTAGAAAAATCGAAAATTCAGGTTATGTTATGTTTGGAAAAAAGTTTTGTAATAATACTTAGGTAGAATTCGATTGCGCAAAAAAAATGAAAAATGCATCTTTGACCTTCAATATCTCGAGAACCCATGGTCCCAAGTCCCAGCTATGGTCTTAAAGAAAAAAATGATCCAAATAATGGGTAGAATACGTGGCTTTCGGCTTCGTTAAGTGTCTTTTTACACCCGGTATAGGTGTTTGTGTTAAGTGTATGGAATCTCACACATTCTACCGAATTGGTGTACAAAATATTTAGCTTAATATCTAGTTATAACTATGCACTACTTAGGTATTCTTAATCTATAAAAGGTCATCTAAATCTTTAGTGCAGTAATAACAGTTATTTAGCAAATAATCACTTACTTTGTAATATGAATGAATAGTTGAGTAAGGATATAAAATAAAGTCGCTTTCTCTGTCCCTATATCCCTATTTATGCTTAAATCTTTAAAACTACGTAACAGATTTAGATGCGGTTTTTTTAAAAAGATGTTGTGATTGAAGAGGAAGGTTTATATGTATGATAACATCTATTAAATAGTGGAGAAATTTAGTATCGGCATTGCATCCGTGTGAAGTCGGATTACTACGGATATACTTCTATTCAATGATTATTTATACACCACTGACATACGGTGAAGATAAAACATCGTGAGGAATCCTAGACTTATAATTACTAATTATAAGTTTGAAATCGCCAACCCGCATTGAGCAAGCGTGGTGATTAATGCTCTAACCTTCTCCGTATGAGAAGAGGCCTTTGCTCAGCAATGGGCACTTATTGGCAACAGTAAGGCATAAACTAATAAAAACATTTCTATCCGCAATGCTAAGAGCGCGTAAAAAGACCTGACTTTAAAACCAATGACCATTATTAATTAAAACAAAACATAAAACAAGATCGTAAATTGAATTAAACAGAACTAATTAAGATTATGATGACATACTCGGGTATAAAACGTTTCAGTTGCCAGTATTAATGTGAGTGACAGACTGTATACAGCTGAAAATACTACGTGTAGCTATCTGTGTGAAGTTTAGCGTTGTCGGGAGTGCTTTTAGGTACCGCAGCCTTGGCCTAGAAACTGGAGAAGGAACGGGGGGGTTTTTAGTCAGTAAGAGTCTGTCGTTTAAGGATTTAGAACTCACAAAAAAGGGGAATGTCGAGAGCTCATGGACTCAATGTGGGAGAGCCATGCTTCGGCACGAATGGCCCGACTTGACCGATGTGATACCGCACGGAAATTCGGAGTAAAAAAGATGGACATTCTGAATATAACTACAGCGTTGTGTTTCGCCGTGTGAGTGAGGTTATCGGAGGCACCATCCTTCTTCCCTTATCCTTAATCCTCTATAGCCCACATGTACAAGAGGCCGGCAACGCACTTGTAGTAACTCTTTTGGTATTTATTACAAGAGCCCATGGGCGAAAATGATTAAAGAAAAACAAAAAACAACCATGAAAAAACCGAAGCGCTGAAGTCAGCGCATCTTGCGTGTCAAGACAATACGTGTCATGGATCTCGCAACGAAATAAATCAGAAGATATTAAGATAAGAAGAATCATCCATCTATACATCTATACTAATATTATAAAGAAGTAAAATTTGTAAGTTTGTATGTAGGGGGTAATCTTTGGAACCGCTGGTCGGATTGCTAAAATTCTTTCACTGATGGATAGCTACAATGTTCTTGAGTGCTATAGACTATAAAACATAACGCTACGATCAAATGGAGCCGAGCAGCGGGTGAAACCGCAAGATAGTAGCTAGTAGACTATAAAACATTAAACTACCATCAAATGGAGCCGAGCAGCGGGTGAAATCGCGCGAGTTTCGCTAGTACTTATTTAGCACTAACGAAACATATTTAAATGCCCAAAACCCTCATGCAGCTCCTCCAATGTTGTGGGTGACCAAAGACAGTGTTGATTGCTTACCATCAAGTAATCTGTCTGTTCGTTGCGCGACATATCGCAAATACAAAAATCTCCAATTTCTTCTTTTAACAAAAATAAAAAATATGACGATTCTTACCTGTTTCTGCCTCATCAGCTCTTGAGCGGGCATCCCGGGAGCCTGTTGGGATCTCTTGCGTCCACAGCCTGAAATCAAAGCGAAATAATAGCAAACATGGAAACAGAAAAACAAACAATCTTTCTAAATATCATATTAGATATACTGTTTTATTTTTTAATTCAGATTCGTTTATATTTTTTTAAATTGGAAAAGCCGTGATTTGTCACAATGGAATCACCGTGGGTCGGCTCGACCGGAGTAATACCACGGCCTTACAGAAAACGAAAATGAAACAACTACAACGTTGTGTTTCCCGGTTTTGAGGTTACCGGAGCCCCAATCTTCCCCCAGAAAACCATTAAAAAAACAGTTTTTATGCAGGATTCAGATATAATAAGGCCGTGCCTTACAGAAAACCGGCATGAAACAACTACAGCGTTGTGTTTCGCCGTGTGAGTGAGGTTACCGAAGACCCAATCTTTCCCCTCAACCATCCCTAAATATAAAAAACCATAATACCTATAAGGTCTATGGGCATAGAGAAAATATCTCTATGTCTATGGGCGTCACCGATTGCTATTCATCAGGTCAGGTCATCAATCATATAAATCTGAAGAGTTTGTTTGTTTGAACGCTAATCTCCAAAACGACTGGTTCGAATTGACAATTGTTTTTAGTCCATTTATCCAAGACGACAAAGGGCTATAAAATGTCACGCTTCAATCTTTAAAACTACGCTTTATCTTGTGTTGCTACATAACTCAACAACGCCTCGACCAATTTTGCTAATTCTTTTTTTGTTGTGTTTTTTGTTGACAGGAGAAGGTTCTTACCCAAAAAAATATTAGAAAAGTAGAGGGGAAGATTAGGAAAAGTGACCCTTTGATAGCGAGATAGTTGGACCCGTGCGAAGGGGGGCGCTAGTATGTATATAAAATAACATCCATTAAATAGTGGAGAAATTTAGAATCAGCGACTTACACCCGTGTAAAGCCGGGACGAGTCGCTAGTTGTTTGTTTGTTTGAACGTGTTAATCTCAGAAACTACTGGTTCGATTTGAACAATTCTTTTTGTGTTCGTTAGTCCACTTATCTAGGAAGGCTTTGGGCAATTAACATCAAGCTACGATCTATAGGAGCCGAGCGACAGGTGTGAAACTGCGCGGAAGTAGCTAGTGTATTCTTTAATAAAATGCTTTAGGTATATACCAGTGAAAGCATTGCAGAAGGGTCTCTTCTTGGGCGTCATCAGCATTTCCTCTGGCAGACGACCCTCGTAGTTCCTGGGGATCTAGAAATAAAAGGAAGTATAAATTACAATTTTGTTTTGACGTTCAAAAGTGCCTGTAAAGTTCTAATTGGAATAGATCTATATTGGAATAGAATTTTTGACTTTTTTTTTTACTGGCGGTTAATATTATTAAAAGAACCGATCTGAAAGGCCTCTGAAAGGAAGATTTCGTAACCTGGCATGTGAAAAAGTGGAGTTTTTCCGAGTTGCATGTGCTGTCTATGATTATCTAGACACCACTGACATCATCATCATCATCATCATCATCATCATCAGCCTGATGTCGTCCACTGCTGGACACAGGCCTCCTATTGACATAGGTACGATGAAGGAAAACCTCTTTTCTTAGAAAACCAATGAGGAAAACATTGTGAGAAAACCTGACCTTACAATTTCTAATTTTAAATTAAAAAAACAGTTTTTATGCAGATATAAAAAAAATACTTTGCCCCACACTAGATTTTTTTCTATACATACAATTTCAGATTTGCATATCACTCAGACCCGAAAAATCAAAACGTGTACCTCACGCGTGAGAAGCGGGCCCCTGGACCTCCGGGTCATCACGAATTTTACTCCATCTACTTAGTTTTGTTGAGAACAAAAAAAATAATAAAAAGACACTTACCGAGGCTGTATGGCAGCATTCCATGTACAACAGCGCCACCACGACGAACAACGAAACGCGTGACACCGACATGGCGGGAAACTTTGACAGTTGCACAAAATGGACGACCTGTTGACAAAGATAACGAAAATATTATGTAGTTAAGTGTGTACTTAAAATTTTTAAGTGTGGGAGATCCATGCTTCGGCACGAATGGGTCGGCTCGACCGGAGTGATATCACGGTCTCACAAAAACCGGCGAATTTCCTTAAATTCGCTAACAACCAAAAAGCCTGGCAACGCACTCAATTTGACTATAGTTAGTCCTTTAGTAGAGATAGGCGGCGCCGATTAAAACAAAAAAAAAAACAAAACACAATCGCTAAAACGTGTGTTGGACAGATGACCAACTGTCTTAGAACCCCCAACGAAATAAATCAGAAAATATCTGAAAAGAACCGGAGTGATACCACGGCCTTAAAGAAAACCGGCGTGAAACATCCAAAGCGTTGTGTTTCGCCGTGTGAGTGAGGTTACCGGAGGCCCAATCCTTCCATACCCCCAACTCCTAAATCTCCAAATCCCTAATCCCCAAAAGATCGACAACGCACTCGTAACTCTTCTATTGTTGAGGGTGTCCATGGCCGGCGCTGATTGCTTTATCATCAGCCTATAAGTGCCCACTGCTGAGCAAAGGCCTCTTCTCAGACGGAGAAGGTTAAACTATTATTCATCACGCTTACTCAATGCGGGTTGGCGAATACAAACTTATAATTAGAAATTATAAAAGTCCAGGTTTCCTCACGATGTTTACCTTCACCGCATGTCAGTGGTGTCTAAATAATCATAGAAAGTACATATAACTCGGAAAAAGTCACATTGGTACTTGCCAGGTTTCGAACACGAAGCCTTAACCTCGGGGCCACCACGACACGATTGCTTACTATCAGGTAATCCGTATGCTCGTTTGCCGAACTATCCCATAAAAAAGTCTATCTTGTATAGCAACTTGTATCAAATTCTTATCCCGACCGAAGCTACTAACTAACTTATCGAACACAACAAGAATGGACACTTAAACTATTTAGTTAAAGTCAACTAAACTTGTAAGCAGTAACCAATTTTCCTTATTGACAAACGAAGTTAAAAAACTAAGTTAACAATTTATACAAGTAAATATATATAATTGAAGTTAGTTTAGTTAGTTAAGTAATTGTTTAACTGTGTAAAAAGTTAGTTAGTTTTGGTTCATTTAAAAAGTTTTTCTTAAAGAAGTTATTTTTGCTGTCCCTTTTTTTTCTTTGTCTTGGTCGTATGGTTATCTTGTTAGGCGGGTTTTGGGAGTTTTTTTTTTGTATGTAATAGATCGACAAACGAGCAGACGGATTACCTGATGGTAAGCAATCAGCGCCGCCCATGGACACTCGCAACGGAGGAGTTACGAGCGCGTTGTCGACCCTTTAAGGATTTGGGGTTTGGAGATTTAGGGATTGAGGAAGGATTGGGGAATTGGAAGGATTGGTCCTCCGGTAACCTCACTCATACGGCGAAACACAACGCTGTGATTATTTAACGCCGGTTTTCTGTGAGGCCGTGGTATCACTCCGGTCGAGCCGACCCATTCGTGCCGAGGCATACTCTCTCACACACTTCAGTGGTGTGATAAAGACGTGCTAGTTCAGTGCTTATTTTTAAGTGGAAAATATCATTAAATATCTTCTCTGACTCTCAATGGGGCGAGAGGGAATGCCATTATTTTGACAACCTCTCAAAACCGCTGCAACTCCTGTACACCAGGATCTACAGTAGATACAACCATGAAAACACTCGAACACTGAAGTCTGCCGCGTCACAGGGACATGAATGTCTGTCTTGGATCCCGCAACGAAATAAATCAGAAGATATTATTTGAGGAGAAGAAGAGTGTCAGACTCCTACTGACTACAAACTACCCTGTTTTTTCTCATGCTCTAGCCCGATGCCGCGTGATTATTGCGCTTGCCCCGCAACCCCGGCTGAACATCAGCCCTATAGGGCCCTATCTGTAGTGGTCTACTGGCTTTTTGTGCCTTGGCGTTAGTCGTATATTTATTGATTCTAGATATGAAATTGAGTTTATCCTTTCATAATATCATTTAGAGACTGATTTTGCGAATTTCCTAAGGAATGCTTTATTAAGGAGAAGATTCTCAAGTTGACTGCTTTTTATTATGTATGTTTTGCCATATATCTCCGGTATTCATGTGGGAAATATTTCAAGAAAAAGTACCAGCGTACGTGTGTCACTGGACAGTGAACCTCGCTACCATCAGTTGACTGGACAATCTCTACACTACATGAGTCGCTGTTTACATGTCAACATTAGCTCATGACGATACCAGCGTACGTGTGTCACTGGACAGTGAACCTCGCTACCATCAGTTGACTGGACAATCTCTACACTACATGAGTCGCTGTTTACATGTCAACATTAACTCATGACGATACCAGCGTACGTGTGTCACTGGACAGTGAACCTCGCTACCATCAGTTGACTGGACAATCTCTACACTACATGAGTCGCTGTTTACATGTCAACATTAACTCATGACGATACCAGCGTACGTGTGTCACTGGACAGTGAACCTCGCTACCATCAGTTGACTGGACAATCTCTACACTACATGAGTCGCTGTTTACATGTCAACATTAGCTCATGACGATACCAGCGTACGTGTGTCACTGGACAGTGAACCTCGCTACCATCAGTTGACTGGACAATCTCTACACTACATGAGTCGCTGTTTACATGTCAACATTAACTCATGACGATACCAGCGTACGTGTGTCACTGGACAGTGAACCTCGCTACCATCAGTTGACTGGACAATCTCTACACTACATGAGTCGACAGTGTTTACATGTACATTTAACTCATGACGATACCAGCGTACGTGTGTCACTGGACAGTGAACCTCGCTACAGTTGACTGGTACAGTCTGGTCAACATTAGCTCATGATACCAGCGTACGTGTGTCACTGGACAGTGAACCTCGCTACCATCAGTTGACTGGACAATCTCTACACTACATGAGTCGCTGTTTACATGTCAACATTAGCTCATGACGATACCAGCGTACGTGTGTCACTGGACAGTGAACCTCGCTACCATCAGTTGACTGGACAATCTCTACACTACATGAGTCGCTGTTTACATGTCAACATTAGCTCATGACGATACCAGCGTACGTGTGTCACTGGACAGTGAACCTCGCTACCATCAGTTGACTGGACAATCTCTACACTACATGAGTCGCTGTTTACATGTCAACATTAGCTCATGACGATACCAGCGTACGTGTGTCACTGGACAGTGAACCTCGCTACCATCAGTTGACTGGACAATCTCTACACTACATGAGTCGCTGTTTACATGTCAACATTAGCTCATGACGATACCAGCGTACGTGTGTCACTGGACAGTGAACCTCGCTACCATCAGTTGACTGGACAATCTCTACACTACATGAGTCGCTGTTTACATGTCAACATTAGCTCATGACGATACCAGCGTACGTGTGTCACTGGACAGTGAACCTCGCTACCATCAGTTGACTGGACAATCTCTACACTACATGAGTCGCTGTTTACATGTCAACATTAGCTCATGACGATACCTGCGTACGGTTGTCACTGGACAGCGAACCTCGCTACCATCAGTTGACTGGACAATCTCTACACTACATGAGTCGCTGTTTACATGTCAACATTAGCTCATGACGATACCAGCGTACGTGTGTCACTGGACAGTGAACCTCGCTACCATCAGTTGACTGGACAATCTCTACACTACATGAGTCGCTGTTTACATGTCAACATTAGCTCATGACGATACCAGCGTACGTGTGTCACTGGACAGTGAACCTCGCTACCATCAGCTGACTGGACAATCTCTACACTACATGAGTCGCTGTTTACATGTCAACATTAGCTCATGACGATACCAGCGTACGTGTGTCACTGGACAGTGAACCTCGCTACCATCAGTTGACTGGACAATCTCTACACTCTTCTCTTATCTTATATATAAAAATTTCGTGTCACGTGTTTGTCCGCGATGGACTCCTAAACTACTAAACCGATTTTAAATTTGATTTGCATTCCGTGTGCATTTTGATCCAACTTGAAAGATAGGATAGCTTACATCTCAATTTATAGTCACAATATTATTTTATTGCAAATTATTTGTCCATATGTAATATGACAAGAACCACAGCGACGCGTGGCTGATACAATGAAACAATGAATTTATTTTTGCAAATATGCCATAAAACGGCGCTTTTACACGTCAATTTGTATGTGAAAAACTAGATGAAGCCGGCATTTCCTATCTAACTGATAGTTTACTATATTATTTAAAATCCGTGTTAAAATCATTAAATACAAAAAGATTACCCTTTTCAGATTATGATTTCCACTTAAGATTAAAGAATACATATATAAAACTGTTTCAATGCTTTAAACATCCCGCTGAGAGATATCGAAGCCACGCTGTGATCGACATTGTTAAACTCAGACATGTTGAACTTAAGATTTCATATTTTAAAATATGTATTTAATATCAGGATATTGTATTCGTTTTATACTAAGTAAGTGTTAAAAGAAAGTTATAAGTGTGGGAGAGCCATGCTTCGGCTCGACCGGAGTGATACCACGGCCTCACAGAAAATCTGCGTGAAATAACTACAGAATGTGGTAACTTTGGCCCAATACTTCCCCTGATGCCATTACGCTCCAGTCCCTAAATCCCCAAAACCCCTTATCCCCAAAAGGCCGGCAACGCTTTGAACTACTTTGGTGTTAGGAGTGCCCATGGGCTCCGCCGATTGCTTATAGTCTGTTCATAAAATTCCATATTTATTTCATGTGGGAGAGCCATGCCTCGGCACGAATGGGTCAGCTAGACCGGATTGACACCATGGTCTCACAGAAAACCAGCGTGAAACAACCACAGCGATATATTTCGCCGTTAGAATGTGGTTACCGGAGGCCCAATCCTTCCCCTCATCCCATTACGCGCCAATGCCTAAATCCCCAAAACCCCTTTATCCCCA